AAGTTTACCAGTAACTTCTGGAGGAACCTGTGGCAGCAGTTCGGCACGCGATTACAGTTCAGTTCATCGTATCACCCCGAAACCGACGGACAGACCGAACGGACAAACCAGACCATGGAACAGCTCATTAGGGCCACGTGCGACGACCCAAACACGTGGGAACAGCAGCTGCCACTCATCGAATTCGCATACAACAACGCCCCATCCGCCACGACCCAACAGTCACCTTTTTACCTGAATCACGGACAAGACCCAACAGTACCTATGACCCCAAATCCCGACAACCCCGTTCCACGCGCACAACAGTTCGCCGAGATTTTGCAAGCAGCACGGACCAGAGCAGCAGAAGCAATAAACAAATCAAATATCATCGCTAAACGCAACACTGACCGCCACCGCAGGCCTGTCACTTACCAACCCGACGACCTCGTTTTACTCGACACTCAAAACCTCCGCCTGCCCATCTCTCCCAAACTCCGCCCTCGATACTGTGGGCCATTTCGAATTAGCCATATGATAACACCTGTCACCACGCACCTCCTCCTCCCTGCTGACTGGTACGTCAGCCCCTCGTTCCACGTCAGCCTGCTTCGCCCCTACGTACCAACCACCAGCAAACCACGAAATCGACCAGCCAGCATGGCACGACCGCCAACCGAGCCAATCATCACCCCCGACAAAATCCTGAGCCACAGAGTTCGCGACCTTCGAGGAGCCCGAAAGATCGAGTTCCTGATCCGCTGGAAAGACCGTACACCCACCGAGGACAACTGGGTTCCCCTGGATAGAATCGAAAACCACCCAGTTCTCACCGAGTATCTACGCAGCCGAAACTTCAGGGACGTCCACGCACTGTCGTAAGGAGGACCTCCTTAGGAGGGGGGGGTAGTGTAAGGAAAATCACTTTTCCTTACTTCGCATCCCTGCTCAACGCGTACATCACCGTAGCACCTCAGTCAGCACCGTTACCACTCGCGATCCTCGCATCGACAATCACCTTGCCATTTTCGCACATCGCACCCCGACCTCACGGCTCGGCTGGTAACCCGCGCTCCGGGCCTCCGCTTCGACACTTTCCCAACCTCAGTCCCAGGCTCGTCGCGCGACAACCACAGTCCATTACCGTTACCACTGTAGTTTCGCTATATAGTCTTCGCTCATGCCTTCGCTCATTGTATTCTTGCTTCGATAGTGCAATTCTCGTTCGTTCACTCAATTGCACTCGTGACACCGATGCACTAGAGATGTTATTTCGTTTGATCTTTCGAATGGCGTACACTCCGCTCTGTAAATTTAATCTCAGCATGCTTTCCTCGAACGATTGTTCGCGAGGGTCTTGGGAGCATTCCGACGCTCGTAAGCGACGGCGATTGGCCGGCTCCATTTCGGGTAGCACAGAGATGGCTTCGCCTGTCGCTCCGAAACCGGCTCCCATTGGCCGAATCCGTTTCGGCCAGCCCGAATTGCCATTCGCACGCGCGGATTTGCATGCGAAATGCTTCGCGAGGGTTCTCCGAGGGACAGACCACTCGGAAACGGCTCCGATTGGCCGGGTCCGTCTCGGCGCGCTGGGGTTCGGCCCTCGCCTTCGGATTGGAGAGCGATGGGTTTCGCGAGCCAGGGCTGGGCCTGGGGAGGGCCGGGGTTGGGACCACGCTGGTGGCCCGGATCTCACTAGGGACCTGGGAGGGGGCGGGGGACTCCCTCTCGCGTGGCGATTCCCAGTTGGGGGCCGCGACAGCCCTTGCATCCGCGTGCGGCCCTGGTGGGAACCCGTTTCCACCAGGAGGGGGCTCTGGTGGGATTCGACCCACCAGGGCCCGGATGGACTGCCAGGAGCAGCGTGCTACACGAGGCCCTGGAGCAGCGTGCCCGGATGTAGCTGTAATGGATGCGAATCTCTCCAGCACAGCGATGCCAAAGGAACCATCCCAAGTGGGCAGGAGATAAGAAGTTGCCTTGGGACTGTGCTGACGACAACTGAGCGACCGAAAATCACCGCTCAATTCCGCGCCAGAATCCAGCAGTAACACGCTGGCAGGAGCAAAGAAATCTACTGCGCCAATGAAATCGATCGTCCCCAGTGGGGTCACCCCACATCAGCATTGAATACACATGATGCCTGTTTGAGCCCCTCCCGGTTGCCTTGTGAAGGGGGCGTATAAGCTGTAACGAGGCAGTTCGCTTAAGTTCGTCAATTCGCACCTAGCTAAAAAGAATTAGCATGTGCTTATAAACAAGACCCTGCTACCTAGTTACCTAGTTTGACTTCAGTCTCTTCTGCTTGATTTCGGTCTCTTCTGCTTGACGCGCTTGTAATGTAGGTGCATGAAGCTGGGGAAACAACCTCGGGTGCAGCGTATCCATCCGGCGCAAGGCAAATTCGCGCGCATGGGGTGAGCATCAGGTGTATGCACTTTGGTTAATGACAAACGAGCGACCCTTCAGTGTAAGTTGAATAGTGACACGCTGCCATAAGCAGGGTGCCATACTGTACCGTATCCGCCACATCCGCCATGCTGTATTCTCCACGCAATTGTTCTGTCTTTACACTGTTTCCCGTTCCTTCAGGAGCTCAACAGTCGGTGTGTGGTAGGTGGCGGTTCAAAGCAACGAAGTGAAGTGTTTCACTTTTACACCCTGTTTCTCACTACACTGAACTGTGCTGAACTGATGGAAAACCTAGTTACCTTCGATTTGTCTGATTGAACCATACCTAGACTTAATCTAACCACCGTTAACCGTGCTTTTCCCATCTTGACTTCACTATAACCGAATTCACAATGGCGAGAAAGAGGGTGTATAAATATTTCTTTTCAGTCTCCGTGTTTACTCGATGCACAGAATGAACTGAATGTGATACTGTAAGGAAATTCCCTTTTCCTTACTTCGCGTCCCTGCTCAACGCGTACATCACTGTAGCACCTCAGTCAGCACCGTTACCACTCGCGACCATCGCATCATTCATCATCCCGCCCTTTTCGCACATCGCATCCCGACCTCACGGCTCGGCTGGTAACCCGCGCTCCGGGCCTACGCTTCGACACTTTCCCAACCTCAGTCCCAGGCTCGTCGCGCGACAACCACAGTCCATTACCGTTACCACTATTGCTTCGCTATATAATCCTTCGCTCATGCCTTCGCTCATTTGTACTCCTGCTTCGATAGTGCAATTCTCGTTCGTTCACTCAATTGCACTCGTAACACTTGGTATTCAGAGCCTACGATCTCATCTCGGACCGCATCCACACCTTCGCTTCCCACTATCTCAATTTTTGGGGGGGGTAGACGTCTCTCAGCGATACAGCACCGCCGCTCGTAGTGCTCTCTCGGAAGCACGCACGGCCACGACTGAGGCTCTCGCTGAGCTTGCCCGACACCCCTGCCATGGCTGATTTCACTATCGCCACGTTGACGCAGGAGCAACTCGATCGTCTCGTGCGACAGCTGGAGGAATCAGCGCTCGAAATCGCGACGCTCACGGCGGAACGTGACTCCGCCCGTCAACAGTCAACGGTGAACGCTCCGACAACTTCCCAAGCGCCAACCAATGTTTCTGTCCATTCGGAGGAGCCGATTGTTATCTCATCCGGCACACCAACGCAAAACAACAGCACGGGACAGCGCTCAGGCGCAGCCAGTGACGGCGCAGCCCAACCGATGCCCGGCATGGGAGGGAACAGGAATGCATCAAGCCCACGGGAGCCCCGAGAAGCCCGTCGGCACGTGGAGTTTGCGATGACAAGTGGAGGGAACGCCACGATGGCCCCAATGCCACTCAAGCCGCAACGCCCGCCCTGCTTCGACCCAAGCCAACGCGGTGGCCCGACAGTTCAATCGTGGGTCTTCGCGATGAACGTGTTTTTCGACGCCAACTACGTCGAGTCGGACGCCGCCAAGATTCGGTATGCAGTTTCACTACTCAGGGGCCCCGCCATGGACTGGTGGCGAGTCATCGTGACATCGCCACGCGCCTACGAGCCACCGCCGCACGAGGAAGGGCCCTCGGGTCCAGCTGTCACCTGGAGTTCGTTCTGCGAAACAGCCCAATATAGCACGTGGGATGCGTGGTGCGCAGGGCTTCGGGCGCGTTTTGGACTCTAGCAGGTAAACCTAAGTACATGTTCGCCTGCGGATTTCTCGTCAAGTCATTCGGATTTCCCGCTTGGTTTCGTTGAGACATTCCGCGTCAAGTTCTGAACGGAACGTTGGAGAGGTGAGAAACGGTTTGAAGCGGTGAACTGACAGAACCGCTCAAAAGCTTACAATACCGTGCTGGAACGCGGAATATCGAACAGAAAGCAAGCAGTTGCACCACGCTTAAGAAAATATCAGGGGAAATAGTGATCATGGAATGCTGACATGCATTGTGTGAAGAAAATATCAGGGCAGTCAGCAGCAAGGACATGGAGAGTGTCCATACTAAGAAAGAGGAAATTGTGTTCATAGAAAACAAGTGAAGGAATCAGTCAAGGAGTCAACGAACTCCTGAATTACGTAACACGACAGAATTTCTCTTACGATTCACGGCCACTCAAAGGCGCTTGCCGAATCGCTCGTCGATGGTTACGCTTCTCCCGCATCGGCACTTCCGCGTTTTGTTCTTCCGCAGAAGTTACTGGTTTCTTTGGAATATCGTGTAACCATTATCGTAAAATAACGTACCTGTCGCGTTTAGCTATGGCAGCGGCTGCGGTGCTGCCAGCACCCACGCAGTGCAAAGCGGCTCGAGCCGTGGTGGCGGTAATGGAAGCGTACCGCGACGCGCGCGTGCAGTTCGTCATGAAAGTTGGCGAACTCGCGGTTTCGCCTCAGGTGCACCTTAATCTCAGTGTCTCTCAGCATCCGAGCTTCGATCTGCGAATTCATGGCGTATTCATGGCGAATTTCAGGCGAATTCATGGCGATTTCATGGCAAATTCGTGTCGAATTCATGGCGAATTCATGGTGCTGCTGGGTGAGGTTCATTCTTTGCGTGTCGCCAGCTCTATTGACTTCGAATGCGCTGTCCGCCCGCGTTTCTTCCCCGGCAGAACGCGGAGGCGCTGCTGTCGCTTGGCGCGCTGCAGCTGTTGCTGCCGCTCGCGCAGGACAGCATGGCGTCCGTGCGATCCGCTGCGACGCTGTCGCTGGGTCGCCTTGCGAATGTGTCGCATACGTGGTCGCACCACCTCGTGCAGCACAACGTGCTGCCGTCGCTCTGCAAAGCGCTCACGTCAGTCCTCCTCTTACTGAATCTATTTGAATGTGTTTTTAGAATTCGGGGATTCGCCCGGCCAGTTGATCTCTCTGCAAGCCTCTCACGTCAGTCCTCCAGCTTTGTCAATCGTTTCGTCACGTCACACCACGTCACGGTGCCTTGAATGTTTCATTTCCTGCGGTTCTCCTGCCATGTGCCACGCACGAGTGCGTCGCAACATGCTGGCTTCTTCATGCGAAGCACTCTCGTCGTTTCGTTCATCTTTCTCTCCCTCCAACCCCGCGACTTCCCCTCTCCTCTCCCTCCACCTCTCGTCTTCCCCTCTCCTCTCCCTCCACCTCTTGTCTTCCCCTCTCTTCTCCCTCTACCCCCAGCGGCACCAATCGCCACCACAAGCGCGCAGCAGCATATCTAGTCAAGGCCGTGTCGCGCCACGCTGGCGCTGAGCTGGCAGAGGCGGGCGTGCTGCCGTTGCTGACGGAGTGCCTTCTGGATGCCATGCTGGCGGTGCGGGAGACTGCTGCGTGCGCATTGGGCCACGTGGCGAAGCACAGCGGTGACCTGGCGATGAGAGTGGTTGAGACGGGTGCAGTGCGGTTGCTGGTGACATGCCTTCAGGTGGGGTTCACAACAGCATTGGGACCTGGTCAGCAGTAACTCATGCCCTCGTTCATGAATGACCTGCTCTTTCAAAAGGCTCATGCTTGTGCCAGACATTGCCTTTCTCATGCTCTCATTACCTCTCCACACGTCCAGCTTTCTGCCCTTTGCCCTTTCATCTCATGTCCTCTAATATATTGTCCCCATATCCCGTGTTCCTATACCTCTCATCTCCCATATCCCATCTCCCCATGTCTCATATCCTTATACCTCATGTCAGGACGAGGCTGTAGCGCGGATAGCCCTCTCAGTGCTGACTGACGTGGCACGCCACTCGCTGCTGCATGCTACAGCCGTGGCCGATGCGGGCGGCATTACCGCCGCCGTCTCTCTGTTGGGATCACCTGACGTCAAGACAAGGCGTCAGGTGCTGTTCTCATATGCCTGTTGTTTTGAACGACTCGAACCTCGTCCCATGTATCCCATTGCCCACTCCCTGAACCCCTCTGTGATCACGGCTCCTTCTGCTCTGCACCACCACGCTTGCACCTTCCTTCCTCCTAACCCTGCACGTGCCCTTCACTTCTCTCTGTGCGCGACGTTTGCTCCTGTCCTCTTCTACACAAACGCTTAACTTTTGCATCTCCACGCACCCTTCTGCAGCTTTTTTAACCGCTCTGCACCCTTGTGCCCCTTTCTGCTTCCCCTGTCTCCCACCCATCTGCACCCCTCTGCACTTCTTACAGGTCTGCGTCTGCCTTTCTACCATCGCCAGGCACTCTGAATCCCTCGCCCTGGTAAGCACTGCTCCTAACTTCCAAACCGTTCTGAACCGCCCTGAACTGCTCTCAGTCCCTCGCCCTGGTAAGCACTGCTCCTAACTTCGCAAGCCGTTCTGAAACTTCCAGAACGTTCTGAACCGCTCTAAGCCGTTAACCTTGGTACAGCATAGCCTCCTGTCTTCCGGCACGACTCGTTCCCCTTACTCATTCCAACCCTTCTCTACCCACCCGTCTCCCCCAATCCCTCTTTCCCCTCCCCCCCTCTTCCCATCCCCCTCTCCCGTTCCTCCTGTCCACTTTCCCCTCTGTCCTTAAAATACCCCGCAGCAAGTGTTGGACCAACCAGGAGCATCTCGCCTGCTGCTCTGCCTGCACGACTCATCCCCTTCCCTGCGGGCGTCAGCAGCAGCGGCGGTGAGGGAGGTGGCGAGGCAGGGACCGGCAGCAGCAGGCCGGCTGGTGGGCATGGGGGGCATTGGGCCGCTGCTGGATGCTGTAGGCACGTGGAGGGACGAAGGGGAGGGGGAGGGCATGACCAAAGGCTCCGCCAAGGTTTCAGGTCAGTGACTTCAGGCCAAAGGCTTGCGCTTCCCTTGTGTTCTCTCTGGAATCTCTTTGCACTCTCCTTAGGGGCATCAGCAGCAGCGACGGAGAGGAAAGGGCAGCAGCAGGCAGGCTGGTGGGCATGGGGGGCATCGGGCTGCTGCTGGATGCTGTGGGCACGTGGAGGGATGCAGGGGAAGGGGAGGGAGCAGGGGAGGGGAAGGGGATGACGAGAGGCTCTGGTAAAGTTTCAGGTCGGTAACTGATGTTTTTTTTTAATCCCTTTTTGTGGCCTCTTTTCGATCTGTTTGTGGTTGTCCTGTTCCATCTCCTTTATGTCCTGTTTGTGCAATGCTGCGACCGACCGTCATGTTGCTTTCTTCCTTTGTCACGCATTGCCTTTAGACCCTCCATGCACTTTCTCACAGAAGGCACTCACTCGCACAATCCAATTTCCAGCCACACACACACTCACATACCCCTCCTCATTCCCCACCCACCACCATACCATTCCCCTCCATCTCCCAGTGGTGGTGGCCCTCGGCTTCCTCGCAGCTTCCTCCCCCGATGCAGCGCTGGCAGTGGTGGCATCGGACGGCATATCCCCGCTGCAGGATCTCATAGTGGAGGGCGACGCTGACGTCACCCTCAAAGGGGCCTGCGCGTGGGCGCTCTCCCAGATGGCTTCCCATGGGTGAGCGTGGGTGAGGACGAGTGGGGATGTGAGGATGGTGAGGATGGGTGAGGATGCATAGGGAGGGGTAAGGTTCGGTTCATGTTGGATAGGGGTATGTTACTGGCAGATTTATGTAACACGTGGTCATAGCATCCAACAATGTGCTTTCGTGATCCTTTCTTCTCTTGCACTTTCTACCTTTCTGCTCTGTTCCCTTGGCACATGCCAGTCCCAGCCATGCCAATCCCGTGGCAGGCAGTGGAGTGCGGGCTGCCATAGTAACAGCATCCACAGGTTAATGACATTGTTCTTTCTCTTCCCTTTCACTCCCTACCCATATTCTCTGTCTCCTTCACACGTGCCAGTCCCAACCATGCCAATCCCGTGGCAGGCAGTGGAGTGCGGGCTGCCATAGTAACAGCATCCACAGGTTAATGACATTGTTCTTTCTCTTCCCTTTCACTCCCTACCCATATTCTCTGTCTCCTTCACACGTGCCAGTCCCAACCATGCCAATCCCGTGGCAGGCAGTGGAGTGCGGGCTGCCATAGTAACAGCATCCACAGGTTAATGACATTGTTCTTTCTCTTCCCTTTCACTCCCTACCCATATTCTCTGTCTCCTTCACACGTGCCAGTCCCAACCATGCCAATCCCGTGGCAGGCAGTGGAGTGCGGGCTGCCATAGTAACAGCATCCACAGGTTAATGACATTGTTCTTTCTCTTCCCTTTCACTCCCTACCCATATTCTCTGTCTCCTTCACACGTGCCAGTCCCAACCATGCCAATCCCGTGGCAGGCAGTGGAGTGCGGGCTGCCATAGTAACAGCATCCACAGGTTAATGACATTGTTCTTTCTCTTCCCTTTCACTCCCTACCCATATTCTCTGTCTCCTTCACACGTGCCAGTCCCAACCATGCCAATCCCGTGGCAGGCAGTGGAGTGCGGGCTGCCATAGTAACAGCATCCACAGGTTAATGACATTGTTCTTTCTCTTCCCTTTCACTCCCTACCCATATTCTCTGTCTCCTTCACACGTGCCAGTCCCAACCATGCCAATCCCGTGGCAGGCAGTGGAGTGCGGGCTGCCATAGTAACAGCATCCACAGGTTAATGACATTGTTCTTTCTCTTCCCTTTCACTCCCTACCCATATTCTCTGTCTCCTTCACACGTGCCAGTCCCAACCATGCCAATCCCGTGGCAGGCAGTGGAGTGCGGGCTGCCATAGTAACAGCATCCACAGGTTAATGACATTGTTCTTCCTCTTCCCTTTCACTCCCTACCCATATTCTCTGTCTCCTTCACACGTGCCAGTCCCAACCATGCCAATCCCGTGGCAGGCAGTGGAGTGCGGGCTGCCATAGTAACAGCATCCACAGGTTAATGACATTGTTCTTTCTCTTCCCTTTCACTCCCTACCCATATTCTCTGTCTCCTTCACACGTGCCAGTCCCAACCATGCCAATCCCGTGGCAGGCAGTGGAGTGCGGGCTGCCATAGTAACAGCATCCACAGGTTAATGACATTGTTCTTTCTCTTCCCTTTCACTCCCTACCCATATTCTCTGTCTCCTTCACACATGTCAGTCCCAGCCACGCCAAGGCCGTGGCAGACAGTGGGGTGTTGATCGACATGGTAACAGCAGCCACCGTTCACCTCCCTGCTCCCGAACCTGTTGCCGGGCCTGCCGCTGCTGCTATGGTGGATGGTGCGGAGGCTCGGAAGCGCTTGGTGCAGGCAGTGAAGGATGTGGTGGTCCGGGTGAATGACATCGAAGCGCTTGATGCGCTGCTGCAGGTACATCGCAGCTGCTTCAGCTCATTGCAAGAGGTGATGATTTTTTTGATGACTCGAAAATCACCCCAAGCTCCTGATGCACTGCTGCAGGTACATTGCTATATTGCAAGCACACACCTTCTCTGTCCTTCTCCACATGCTTTCATCCTCCAATGTTGCATCCACTTACCATTCACCTCACGCTTCCCACTACTTCCAAGTGTCCCCTCCCCACATTCCATTCTCTGCTCCGTGTCCTTCCTCTTCTCCCTTCCCCTTTTCTCCTCCCCTCCCCTTTCCCCCCTCCCCTCCTCCGCTGCTCCCATACAGTGGACTAAGCTGCCGGACGGCATACTGGAGTCTGTCCTGCATCGCATGTCTGTAGTGCTCGCTAAAGACAATGCCTGCCGCCCAGCCTTCCTCGCGTCGAACGGCTTCACTCGTCTGCAGCGCCTGCTACAGCTGGCAGAGGCAAAAAGAGCCGCTGCTGCTGCCGACGCCGCTGCAAACGCAGCTACCGCCGCCGCTGCTGCTGACAGTGCTAATGCAGAGAGCCCAGGAGACCGGGCGGCAAAGGTGACCCGATTTGATCCTGCCTCAGTGCGTTGCATAGAGGGCGGCGTGGATTGGGACCTAGTGGAGGACCACGTGTCATCTATCAACTCTCTCTTCCCCTTTGAAGTCTCCCGTTTCTACTCAGCAGACTACCAGCAGCACCTCCTACAGAAGCTCTCAGACAGCGTCAAGCCGGAGTGGGCTGCGATAGCTACGGCCGCTGCTAGCCCCCGAGCCATGTCGATCAAGGCTCGGGAAGGCAGGTTCGTGAGGGGCGGGAGGAGGCCGGTTGATGTGGAGGAGGTGGGGAGAGGCGGGTGGGAGGCTCCTGATTTGGGACCTGTGATGGAGGAGGAAGGGGAGGGGCAGGAGGACGGGGGAGAAGAAGAGGAGGGTGGGGAGGAGGTGGAGGGGGAGATGGGGGAAGGAGGAACGGGCGGGGAGGGTGAGAGTGATGGGGAGGGGGGGTGGGGGGGTGATGGGGATGGAGGGGTGCAGCTGATGCAGGTGCGAGTGGGGAGGAGCGGAGTGGAGCGGATAGAAGCAGGGAGGGAGGAAGCTGGAGGTGGAACAAGAGAAATGGGAGGAGGAGGGGAGGGGAAAGGAGGGGTGACTGAAGGGGAGGGAAGAGGGATGGATGGGGGTGGTTCTAGTGTGCAGAAACACCAGAGTATGCTGACCAATGAAGAGGGGAGTGGGGCGGGTAAAGAGAAGAGGGACAATGCAGCAGTGGAAGTAGTGACGGGCAGCACTCCACATGAGGTGGGGGGTGGTGGTGGTGGCGTGGAGCATACGGGGGTGGAGGATTGTGGGTCTCGGGTGCAGAAACACCACAGTGTGTTGACCAGTGATGAGGGGTGTGGGGCTGGTGAGGAGAGAAGAGCCGATGCAGCAATGAATGTAGGGAAGGGCAGCACTCGGCATGAGGTGGTGGATGGTGGTGGTGAAGTGGTGGAGCGTGTGGGGATGGGAGATGGTGAAGGGGTGCTGAAGGATGGTGGTAGCGGGGAGGCGAAGGACGGAAATGGGGGAATGCTGCTGAAGGATGGGAATGAGGGGATGACAGGTGGAAATGGGCGGACGACTTATGGAAATGGAGAAACGGAGGATGGCAATGGGGGGAATGAAGGATGGAATTGGGGGAATGAAGGATAAATATGAGGAAACGAAGGATGGAACTGGTGGATAGAAGGCCAGTCAAGTAGGGTGGAAATAACGGGATGAAGGATAGTAATGGGGGGATAAAGGATGAGAATGAGGGGATGAAGGATCAGAATGAGGGGATCAAGGATGGGAATGAGGCAGAGGTTAGGTATTGCGAAGCAGATAAAGGAACTGGCACATGTTAAATCTCATTGAAATAGAGCTGCTTGGTTGGCTTGAACTAGTGATATGAATATATACACCCTGTTTGCTCATTCAATTCACTGTTTGCCAACAGTCAAGCCCAACAAATACGAATTTCCGTTTCCCTGCCTTTATGAGGCGGTTATCGTCGGCCCTTCGCGCCTGTGATCCTGACTGGATCTTCTCGGTCTACGTGGGCGCATATTTATTGCGCCCGGGCAGACCGGCGTGGGGATACTAGTGGGGGGATAGGCATGGAGCCACTATGCCATCACAGCCTCGCTGCCCTGAACTCTCGATTTCCCCTCGATCGAGCGGTCGTCGTTGTCGCAAACAAAGCTGCTGTATTTCGCGAATGCATCTTGCTGTTCTGCGATTTCGCGAAACTCGTGTGAAGCACAGTATATTCTTTCGCCAAGTTATTTTGTGCGCCACTTTCGCCATTCCTATCTTCTTCTATCCCACTCTCTCCCTCTGCACTACCCACCCCACCACTTACCTGCCTGATAAAATCTAGGGTCTGGAACCGTACGCCCCTTATCTAGGGTCTGAGCTGGCAGGCGTTCATAAGAAGCGCCTGTTTCTGACGCTAATTTTCTAAGAGCGTTCTTTCTTGTAGTCGCGTGCTCCATACCCGCGACTTCCGCTACAATGCGCGGGTTTACGGGGTTGGCGCTACGATATTTCCGAGTTTGATGCGTTCGCTGGCCTTAGGGTTAGCGACCTTTTCTAGTATCCCGAAACTCGATTCTCAGTATCCACGTTGAAGCGTCAAAAAGGGATCTTTTCGCGTCTATTAGGGTTAGCGATGTCGACCGGCGAAGCGGAGGTTGCCGGAGAGGCGGCCGCATCACCAGCGCCTCCTCCGCTTGAATGGAAATTCGGTCAGGTTTTCGGCGAACGGGCTGCTGGAGAGGAAGTTCAGGATGGTGAGTTGGAGGACTTACTAGACCTTACAGATTTGGTTTATAGGATACGCAGTTAACGGTGCAGAGAAGCTCGTTGAAATACGTCCTTAGCACATATTCTGGCGATATTATCCGTGTATTTTGTTTTACGAATCGGGGTCGCTGCTCTCATGTCGCGAAGCCAGAATGCCATGGAATAGCAAACCGTTAGTCGCATTGCTCGGCTGACTTCGAGCTTGGAGCGCTATAGCGTTAATGGCACGTTACGTCCTTCCCACCGTTGGCGACACTTAATGGGTTGATTTACGCATTAGCAGCGGAATGCGCAGTGCTGACAACTGTAACAATCGTAGAAACGGCTGATTTTCAAGGCGCGTGGAAAATCGTCCGATGTAGACATTAGATGGCGGAATGTGCGGTTCTGACAACGATGGCATTCGCAGCGATCGCAAGACTGAATGTCAAATGCAAACTTCATACAGTGCAAACCATAATTTCCTAGTTTTTGAAGTGTTCATGTCAACGCTAGTCGACCAGTCTATTTTCACTAACGGCCTGAAGCCGCTATTTCGATTACACACTCTCTCATCCCTAGTCGATAGTCTTCCTGATCTTAACAAGATTGCTGACATTGTGATGAAGGGCAGGTCTTTCGAAAACTTTCCGTGCACTAAACTCATTTATCTGTTGTGGTGTGCGGTTCCGTGCGGTTCTGTGGTTCGGTGCAGTGGACATTATATCGGCGATTGAGTTCGATCGTAGCGGCGAGCACCTGGCGACGGGCGACAGAGGCGGGCGAGTGGTGCTGTTTGACCGCATTGACCTGCGCGACGTGAGTCCCTATTTTCGAAGCCCGCATTATTTCCGGAATGGCATGACGTCGGTACTATTTGCATGATGTGTCGTCTGTATGCTGCGTCTCTGCACGACGTCAAGCTTTAAGCGGCGTGGCTTGAGTCCACATTGACCTGCATGGATTTATTCAGCATGATCCTAAATGATCAGTAATAGCGTCGACCTTACTATCCACTTTAAACCAGAACACACCCGCTGCTTTTCAGCGCTTTCGTCTGTATGCTGCGTCCTCACCCATTGATATTTCCGCTTGTCATGAAAGAAATAAGAATAATGCGCGCGGAGACGCAATGAGACGCAATGAAGACGCAATGAAGACGCCTTATTAGTCGTCGTATCCACTCTTCCCTTGCTCACCTCTACTCACTCCTACTCACTCTTGTTCACTCCCTTTCACGACTGCTCACGCCTTCCCACCGTATCCCATCCCTTCCCATGCGCGCGTCCCATGGGTGCCATCAGGCGCGGGGTCGGCGGGAGATGGAAGCGAGCGACTACCCCCCCGCTGCGCACCAGCAGATCGACTACCGCTACTCCACCGAGTTCCAGAGCCACGAGCCCGAGGTGCGTGGCTTCTGTATGGGAGGACAGGGGAATGTGCACAGATAGGGAGGGAGGGTGCTTGTGTGAATCGCTCTCTTTTGGTAGCCTGCATCTGCTGGTCAAGCTGTTGGACGGGTAGCCTACCCAGCAGATCGACAACCGCTACTCCACCGAGTTCCAGAGCCACGAGACTGAGGTACGGCTTGGCGCCATATGCGGGAGTGGGAGGCACGGCAGCCGTGTGCAGTAGGGGAGCAGGGAGGTGGGTGCGGAGAGTTGGATGGAATGGGACGCGCTTGGTAGCTGCTAGGGTGGTAGCCTAACCTGCAGATTGAGAAAAGCCAATCCACTCAGATGCAGAGCTGCGAGCCGGAGCTATCGCTAGGGCGGGATGTGCGGGAGTGGGACGGGGGAACGGGCACGGATGCAGGGGGTGAGGGTGTAAGTCGCGTCTTTGGCGGGTTGGTATGCAGCGCGCCAGCAGATCGAGTACCGCTGATGCTGATGCTCGGACTTGCAGAGCAACAAGCCCGAGGTACGGCTGCTGTATGCAGGATGGGGCCTGGAAAAGGATCAGGAAGGGGATCTATAGGCATGGAACAGCCAACTATGTGGCACGAAATGCTGGATGAACACTTTTATCAGCCGATCATCACGAGCGCCCCTGAGTTTTCGAGCCACTAGTTACACGCGTGAAGCTTGCAATGCTGTGCGCTGGTGATAGGTCCACCTTAGCTCAAGCTGCTAGAGATAGAGAGGAGGAGGTAAACGCTCCCCAGTCGGGCACCCCAACGTGCCATTATACTTCTCCTGACCGCACTTCACCCCTCTCGCTCCTCTCCACTTCCAACCCCTCCCATCTTTCCTCTCTCTCTCTCCCATCGCTCCCTCTGCACCTCTCTCTCCGTCCCCCTTTCGCACCTGTTTGACTACCTCAAGTCGCTGGAAATCGAGGAGAAGATCAACAAGATCCAGTGGGTGAACTCGTCCCTAGGGAGGTCCTCATTCTGAGAACGCTAAAAGAACTATCCCTCTCTTTCCGTCTCTCCCTCCCCTCCAGTTCGACTACCTCAAGTCGCTGGAGATTGAGGAGAAGATCAACAAGATCCGGTGGGTGAACTCGTCGCAGGGCGCTCTGTACCTGCTATCCACCAACGACAAGACCATCAAGCTCTGGCGCGTCACCCAGCTTTTCTTCCATCCCTCGCCTCCCCTCTTCCCCCACCCCCTCCCCTCTTCCCCTCCCCCCCTCCCCTCGTCCCTCCCCTCCCCCTCCTTTCCTCCTCCCCTCTTCTCCCCTCCTCCCCTCCCTGCCAGTTCGACTACCTGAAATCGCTGGAGATAGAGGAGAAGATAAACAAGATCCGGTGGGTGAACTCCTCCCAGGGCGCGCTGTACGTGCTCTCCACCAATGACAAGACCATCAAGCTCTGGCGCGTCACGGAGCGCCGCGTCAAGGCCGTCTCGCAGTTCAACTGCCCGCCCCGCACAGCCGCCGACTACCTCGCCTCCGCCAACGCGCCAGCCGACCCAGCAGCAGCAGATGCGCTCCCCACGCCCCCTGTGTCAGTGCCTGGCGGGCCACAGATCAACCCGCGGTACCTCCCGCGCCCTGGGTCGCTGTCTGCTGCGTCGGCTACGGCCAGAGCGGTGGCTGCTGGCGCTGGAGCGGTGCTGAACGGTGTGGGCGAGGGCATGGAGCTGGATTTCCCTCCTGGAGGGTTTCCTCAACTGCGCCTCCCTGCTGTGGTGAGTGCTGCATGCCCTGCGCCGTGCGTCCTGAGCGTGTGTTGTCGTTGCAGCCAGCACGTTACAGTCAGCACTGTTTGAAGTCAGTTGGGCTTCATTGCTCCACTCCTATCTTCTTCGCACATATCACATTCTTGTTCTCCTCCCACCTTTCTCTTCCCCCCACCGTGCTCTCCTTCCCATTGTATCCTCCCCCCCACCATGCTCTCCCCCTCCTCCCCACCTTGCCCTCCAGCCCATCTCGAACCACCCCCCCACCCCGTCCTCCATCCCATCGTGCCCTCCCTCCCAACTTGCCCTCTCCTCCCTCCCAACTTGCCCTCTCCTCCCTCCCAACTTGCCCTCTCCTCCCTCCCAACTTGCCCTCTCCTCCCTCCCAACTTGCCCTCTCCTCCCTCCCAACTTGCCCTCTACTCCCTCCCAACTTGCCCTCTCCTCCCTCCCAACTTGCCCTCTCCTCCCTCCCATCCTGCTCACTCCTTCCTCCCACCGTGCCCCTACCCGCACCCTGTCTTCCCTCCCGTCGTTCTCTCCCCCACCGTCGTTCTCTCCCCCTTTCCCCCACCAGGTGTCAACTAACGAGACCACGCTGGTGGCGCGGTGCCGCCGTGTCTTCTCCAACGCGCACGCCTACCACATAAACTCCATCTCCTGCAACAGGTGCGCGGTTTTTCGGGCTTAGAAGGAGGATTTTTTCGCTCTGAATATCAATAGTCTGGGTTTCGTTGTCTCAAAGCACGCCTACCACATAAATTCCATCTGCAACAGGTGTGTGCATCGCTGCTGCTGCAACAGGTTACCTGTCTGTTCGTGCAGCAACTCAGTCAGCTGCTGCTGCTATTACTGCTTACTTGCAGTAGCCTGGGCTGTGTGAGTTGTTACCCCTCGCAGGCGCTGCTCTTTTTCTCGTTTCGCTGCCCACCCGTTTCACCCACCCACTCACTCACCCACCCACCGACCCACCCGCCGGGCCACACCCCTCCACTCGTTTTCCCCCACCCCTTTCGCCGCCACCGCAGCGACTACAGGCTAACCCGTGGAGCCTAGAGGCCCGTTGACAAGCCTCCATCACATTCCCTTTCCCCACTTCCCCCTCACAACCCCTCTCAAAACATTGCCCTTTCGTATCCCTTTTCCCTCCCTCCCCCGTCTTTCTCTCAAACCCCTCTCACCCCTCCTCCCCTTCCCGTTCTCCTTTTGTCCGCTCCGTCCCTTCCCCCCGCTCCCTCCCTCTCTCCCCTGCCCTCTCTCTTTGCCCCCTGCAGCGACCGGGAGACGTTCATATCAGCGGACGACCTGAGGGTGAACCTGTGGAACCTGGAGAACAACTCGCAGAGCTTCAATGTGGTGGACATCAAACCCGCTAACATGGAGGACCTCACAGGTGGGTGATGGCTGGCGTGGTGCGTTGTAGGTACAAGTGTATGAGAGTGCATGCATGGCTTTGCAGCACGCAGAGCTGCAACGTGGTGGATATCATCAAGCCCGCTAACATGGAGGACCTCACAGGTGGGGGGTTTGGTGCGGGTAGATCCTTACAAGTATAGATGCAACGTGAGCATGCACAGCTTTGCAACGCGCAGAGCTGCAACGTGGTGGGTGGACCTCACAGGTGGGTGTTGTGGTGTGATGTGGTGCAAGTGGGATCTCATAAACTGTATGCATCTCAAGTGGCGCAAGTCTATCTATGTCACTGCCCCTCCTTTTCCTCAATGGCCGTGTCCCCAACCCCGTTCCACTCCCCTCTCCTGTCTCCCTCCTGTCACCCGTTTCCACCCCCCACTCCCCCTGCTCCTCGCCCCCCTCTGCCCTCCCTTCCCCCCTCCCCGCGACACACCCCACCCGCTTGCTCTTCCTGCTCCTACAACCCCTCTCAACTCCCCCATGCGCCCCTTCTCCCCTTATTCTCCCACAAACTCAACCAGAGGTGATAACGTGTGCGGAGTTCCACCCATCGCACTGCCACTCGCTCGCCTACTCCACGTCCAAGGGCACCATCCGCCTCATTGACATGCGCCAGTCCGCCCTCTGCGACCAACACTCCAAGCTGTGAGCCTTGTTGTTGCGAGTTAGTGTTGCTTGAAATGCGCACACTGCTGGTAAGGTGTGCTCTGTGCCATGTACCTAGTGACATGCGCTGCCACCATCCGCCTCACCAAATGACATGCGCCAGTCCGCCCTCTGCGACCAACACTTCAACCAAGCTGCGAGCTTGATGGCATGCATGTCCGTCTGTGACAGTCTCGCACTGCGGTTGGAGGAGTAGGAGCTTAAAAGCACGTGACAGATTCCTTGTGCTTCTCGAGTCATCCTCACTTTGCTAATCCATGGCGCTCCCTCTCTCGCAGCTTCAAGGAGCAGGAGCCCCCGGCAACCGCTCCTTCTTCTCGGAGATCGTCGCATCCATCAGCGATGTCAAGTTCTCCACCTCGCACCTGTCTCGCATCTTTCCATCCACGCCCCTCCCTCTCGTTGCTTGCGCTCCAAACAGCTTCGAGGAGCAGGAACCCCCCGGCAACCGCTCTTTCTTCTCGGAAATCATCGCATCCATCAGCGATGTCAAGTTCTCCAATGACGGCCGCTACATCTTTAGTCGCGACTACATGACCGTCAAGGTGCGTGCACTTGTCCAGCAGTGCTTTGTCAAGGCAGTAATGGGTGAAGTTGGTGCGCCACGAAGAAAGGCAGGCAGTAGTGCCAGTCATTCTTCTCGGAGATCATCGCATCCATCAGCGATGTCAAGTTCTCCAACGACGGCCGCTACATCTTCAGCCGCGACTACATGACCGTCAAGGTACGGCTTGAAAAGCAATGTGTATGGTGAGTACGGTGTGGCATGGCATGTAGTCAACCACCAGACGAGAAGAAGAATGGCACACAGAACTGGTTCTTTGGTTCCAACTTTCAAATGGTCCTTGTTTGTTGGAGAAGAATCAGCATGGATCCCGACAGATGTTCCTTGTGCTTTGAGCCGCCTCAAGTGCTTCCCTGTTTCCATTCCTTCATCTTCCACTCACCCGCCCAACCCCCCACCCCTTATTCGCTCCCTGGGCGTGGCAGCTGTGGGACATTCACATGGAAGCGCAACCGCTGGGAACGTTCAAAGTGCACGAGTTCCTGCGACCCAAGGTGACCACCCCACCTTACCACCTGCCTTCTATCCCTCAGTCATTCTGCTGTCCCCTTCTCCTTACCATGCCATCCACCCTGCCTTCTATCCCTCAGTCATTCTGCTGTCCCCTTCTCCTTACCATCCCTCAGTCATTCTGCTGTCCCCTTCTCCTTACCATGCCATCCACCCTGCCTTCTATCCCTCAGTCATTCTGCTGTCCCCTTCTCCTTACCATGCCATCCACCCTGCCTTCACACTTTACGTTCCCTTTTTGTCCACTTCGCATTCACTGCCCTCCCCCCCCCTCGCCTCCCCTGGGGGTCCTGCCTTCATAGTTTCTGTAGGGCTATACTGCCCGTTCTACTGCCGTTCAGCATTCCCACCTCAATCCATTTCCCCATTTCCATCTCCTCAGCTCAGCTGCACACTCAGCTGCCTCCTCACCCCCGACTCCCCTTCTCTTTCCCCCTCACTCTTGCTTCACCCCCACCTGTATGAGAACGACTGCACAGTGTATAAGTTCGAATGCATATCCTGACCCTCCCACTTTCCACTCCCCGCTCTCCACCTGTGTCCTCCTCCCCCACTCCCCTCATTCCCTGGTCTTTTTCTCTCACCCCACCAGCTGTGCCACTTGTATGAGAACGACTGCATATTTGACAAGTTCGAGTGCACATTCTAATTCCTTCTCGCCACCCCCTTCCACTTCCTTCCCCCCGTCTCCCCCATCCGCCTCTCCTTTCCTTCATCAACCCCCCCCACTCCCCCACCTCCACCTCCAACAGCTGTGTGACCTGTACAAGAACGACTGCATATTTGACAAGTTCGAGTGCATGTTCTCACTACCCCTCCTCTCTTTCCTCCTCTCCTCCATGCCCCCTTCCCACCCTTCCCCCCCCCCTCCCCTCCCACCTTTCTCCTCTCACCCCACCAGCTTTGCGACCTGTATGAGAACGACTGCATATTTGACAAGTTCGAGTGCACACCCAGCGGGGACGGGTTGCGATGCGCCTCTGGCTCCTACAGGTGAGACTCATCCCTGTACAGGTGTGAGTTGAGGCTCGTACATGCAAGTCTGCTGGAATGCGTCTGTTGGTCTGTCTGCACTGGCGTGCTGCATCAAACATCTTGTGATGTGAACCAACCTGCTAACATGCGATGCGACTAGGACCTCTCATGTCAAGCTCTTTGTGTTTTACCCGCTTTGGCACCCTTACCATGTGCACGTCTCTCTCTCTCCCTCTCTCCTGCCCACCTCGCTTGCAGCAATCTGTTTCGTGTGTTTGGAGTGGTGCCAGGGAGTGACGAGGCCTCGCTGCTCGAGTCCTCTAAAACACCAAACAGGTGCGCCCATCCTCCCTCTCTCCCACTCTGTCCACCACGCTTCTCCCCCCCTCCTTTCCCCCCTTTATCCTGCACGCCCCACTCCCCCCCCCCACACCCCCGCTCCCCTCCCGCCTTTCCCTATGCTATCCGGCCATTCTAACTTTCACAAAAAAAAAAAGAAAAAATCAGTTTGATACAAGCTTTGCGTCTCTGGCCTCTGATTTGAATAATTTTCATTGTTGATCACTTCATTCCCCTCACCCATTCTGACGTGCCGTATGGCATGTGTGATTGATGGGTGGTCACATCCTGCTGGCATGGGTGATCGTATCGTGCTTGCATGGGCATGTGGGCACGACGTGTCTGGGGGTGGTTGACATTGTATGGCATGGTGTTCATTCTTAATCATGTCGCGGCATGGGGTGTTGTTGGAATGAATTCAAAATGGTGGCATGAGCAGGCGCATGGTGCAGACACCAGCCAAGGGAGGGGGCAGGGCAGGGGCACGCGGCAGGAGGGATGCAAGAAGAGGTGCGTGGGGGATAACACACTCAGGCACCACCTCATGCTTCTTGCCACTTCCCAATGCCTTGTGCTCTCCACCAAATTCCGTGCAACCCCTTCATACCTTCTTGTGCACCTGGCCTTCTCAAGTCCTTCTATTGGCCGGCCACGGTCACTTGAACTTTCTGATTTCTCCCGTGTGGTTATGGCAGAAGCGGTGGATTCCATGGATCCCAACGGCATGCAGCATGACTTTTCTTCAAAGCTGTTGCACCTTGCATGGCATCCCAAGGCCAACCTCATTGCCTGTGCCGCCTCCAACTCCCTCTACATGTATTATGCCTGACCATCATGGCTCTCCGATCTCCCTGTGCATCGGGATTTGTTTTACTTACTGGTTGATTTTCTTCTGAATTGAACATAGCTAGATTGGGAATATACACGATGAAAAGCTGATAATGCGCCTAACCTTCGAACATTTTTGCAATGTGAAGTATATGAATTCAGATTAACTGGCTTTTAGAGAAGTTCCTACACGCGGAAGAGCTGAACTGTAGTTGACTCTGGATTCTACATTCGCCGCATTTGGCGCTAAGGTTCTGTACCTCCATGCACGTCCATCCCTCCCTGCTTTTCCCTGCAATTCGGGAAACCGACACCATCGCATCGCGCAGCCATCCCAAATCCGCGATCCGGCGGATTTCACTCGACATGTATTTGTGTGCTGCTGGTCTCGATGGAATTTCTCCCCATCATCCATCCATAGCCCTCCTCCGCCCAGTTATGCTTCAAACAAAGCTGCTGTCCACTGCCGAGGTATTATCCAAAAGACAGACAAGGTGCATGACAGCTAGTGTGCTCTCAGGTTGCTTCTTCGCCTCGACAGGACCGTCGGCGCCACTGTACCAACCACCTCTATGCATGATGCAGGCAACCGAATAAATAGCGCGTTTGATTTACCAAATCTTCCTCACATACGGCCCGCTGAGATTTCTCACGATAGTTTCCTGCAAGTCCTACACTTCGCACTTACAGCATTTTCGCACATTCAAAGAACTCAGGCTCAGCAGTCCAGCTCGATCTGGCGGTCAGGAACGACTTTCTTTCCCGCTAGTGATTAGGAACTCTTTTCCCCCTATTACGCAACGAAGAATGCTCAGAAAATATTTTCTAGTTTGCAGTGCCTGCGTCGATGTTGCTTTGTCATAGAGTGCCGCGCTTCACCTTAGCAGCCACCAACGGGAGTTCCACTTGATGCCAGTGTGCGCGTGGTGAGTTGTCGGAGAGTAACGCTGATGCCACGGAGCTCCTGACGCTGATCCGGCGAATGCGGCTATAGATTCAGGCTTCCTAGGTGCACCGTGTCACATGCGCTCGCTCGTCCATCACACCGTGCGCGCAGATGCCTGCGCCATGCGCGGTCGTCGTCGGCCCTCTCGGCGCGCATCGCCGTGTAACGCGCGGGTACCGCAGCCAATCGGCGCTCTTTCCGGCGATGCTGTTGCTGTCCTTCGTCGCCTTCTCCGCCGGATTCACTGATTTCGTTCGCCGACCCGGCCCCGCCCCGCCCCCCTTTTCGCCTCCCCCTCGTCCCCCTTCTCCTCCTCCCCGGCCCCCTCCCCCTCCCAGTCCTCCCCCACGCCCTCCGCCTTCTCCGCCTCCTTCTCCGCCCCCGAATCCTCCCCCGCCGTCTCCCCCTCCCAGACCTCCCCCCAGCCCTCCGCCCAAACCACCGCCTCCACCGCCATCTCCCCCTCGCCCCCCGCCTCCCCCGCGCCCTCCGCCACAACCCTCGCTTTCTCCGCCTCCTTCCCCGCCCCCGAGACCCCCCCTTTCTCCTCCTCCGCCTCCCAAACCCCCTTCTCCGTCCGTCAATCCCCCCCTCCCGCGCCTCCCACTGCTTCCGCCGCCTACTCTCCCCCCGTCTGATGGTCCCCCGACCCCCACTTTGAAACCGGAGGGGGAGATTTACCGCGTGTGCGCCGTCGCAGGTAAGGCGGGAGGGGGTGTGTAGCAAGGGGGGGGAAGGCGGAATGTGGCAGGTTGCGATCGAGTTGTAGCAGGGTGAAGGGACTATAGCCGGGGGGAGTGGCTGTAACAGAGTGAAAAAGGGAGACTGTAGGGACGGAGCCCAGACTTCCAATCTTTGCAGCTTCGTTTTGAAAGGGCAAAGAATGGCAAGAAAGAGGAAGGTCGGAGTGCGCAAGGGTGAGAATTCAACCGTATGGGCTCATGAGCTGTCTCAAGTGTTTTCAACTGTCGTTACAACTCGATTCCCGACCCGCCTTTTCACCCTCTCCCAACCACAGGTCATGCGTAGAAACGGTCACTGGCAGTGCTTTGAATCGACTCACAACTCATATTCTGCTCCCAATTCTAACCTCCCAACTTCCCCCATAACAGGGCCTGCAGTCGTAACGATCACAAGCACGCCAATCGGGCAAACCTGGCGAGGCTGGGGCACGTCGCTAGGCTGGTTCGCGAATTACATTGGTCGCTTACCCGCCGCCGATCTCAACACCCTCTTAGACCTTCTATTCCACCCCACGCGCGGCCTCGGTCTTAATATGGTTAGGCACCTAATTGGAGCGGGCTTCAATCCCGCACGGTCGCCTCAAATGACGTCCTTAGGACCTCCCTTTGACGCGCGGCCGATGCCCGGGTATAAACCAAAGGCGGCAGGACCGTACGATTGGTCGGCAGATTGGCGGCAGCGGCGCGTGCTGATTGGTGCGCTGGCGCGCGGAGTTGATTCGGTAGAAGCAGTGGCTTATTCGCCGCCGTGGTGGATGACTCTTAGCGGGGATGTGTCAGGCGGCCACGCGAACACCAACAACATACGGCCGAGATATTACGAGGCATTCGCGGACTATTTAGCTACTATAGTGCAGAAATTTAGAGACGCGTGGAACGTTACTTTCGTGGCGATTAGTCCGACTAACGAGCCGCTGGAGGGATGGTGGGAGCAAGGGGGAATACAGGAGGGTTGTAATTTCGACGCTAATGGATTACAAAAACTGATCCCCTTGGTCGTGCGAGCTCTCAAGAAGCGAAACCTGGTAACCCGAGTAGCAGGATTCGACAGTCTGGTGGACTCCACGGTTCGTTACAAGCGGTTCTGGAGTGCTGCGAAGCAGCAATCACTACAGCCGTTGAGGCATCTTAGTGTACATGGGTATATATTCCCGAGGGGAAACTCGACAGGAATTTACAGCCCCAGAGTTTATGTCGAGCAAATGTTTGGACAAATGCGGGAGGTGGGAAAGAGCTTACAGAAGGAGGTTTGGGTTACCGAAGCTGGGCCTCTGTTCATGAAGGGGGGAGCAGACATTGATATTGCCGTGCACATGGCAAGAACCGTCATCCAATCAGTGAACATCATGGGAGCATCTGCTTGGATGTTCTGGCAAGCAGTGGGGAACACTCGGACATGGGCCTTTCTTATTATTCCTATGGCTCCGATTAAAAGCGCGGAGCTACCACCTTTCTCGGTGGTCTATTCGAAGAAGTATTTTGTAATGAAGCAGCTTGTACAAGGGGCGCCAAAGGGGAGCAAGCCGTTACAGGTTACCACTGCGCAGGGGTGTCATCATTGCGTGGCTGCCTTCTACTCTGCTGCCCGGCGCCAGCTGGCGGTGTTTGTGGCCAATCAAGACGGGGATGATTACCCGGTGTCATTGGCCATTGATTCTTTCGCAGCAGAGAATTCAGCTGCTCCTGTACAAGTCAAGATGTACAGGACAGCTTATAACGAGGATATGGAGCCCACGTTTGCCCAGGCATATGATTCAATGCCAAAGACTGTGAAGGTGTTGGCTCGTTCCCTAAGCTTTACATCTGTGCTTGTGTCAAACATTGTGCCTGGATGATGTGTTTGGGACCTTCTTCTGTTCATGCCTTCTGCTGTAATTTGTATTGTACCCCTGCGTGCGTGACTATCTGGAAAGGAGAGAGCAGAGATTGTTGCGGAGAGGAGAGAAGAGGAGAGGAGAGGAGAGGAGAGGAGAGGAGAGGAGAGGTGAGGAGAGGAGAGGAGAGGAGAGGAGAGGAGAGGAGAGGAGAGGAAGAGAGGATAGAAGAGGAATGTGAGATCTAGAGTCTGTCCCATCTGCACACCTCGGCCCAATTTTGTCAGTGGAGAGTGCACACAAGCACGGCACATCACAGCTCTTTCCCCAACAGCTTGTCCCCTGCTCTAATTGTTGCCGAGCCATTACCTTTTTGAAGGCATTGCATGTAATATTTGAGCCCTGGCTGGCACACCTTTGAGCACCTCAAATATTTCATTATCATGTTGGTGCATAGTTTACATTTCCAATCTAGTACTGCAGAAGTAACAACGGTAACACCCAAATGTCCTGCACTGGGTGCGAAACTTCCATGGCTCGGCTTCTAACGGGGACACCACTCAACTTCCCTCCTGAAATTTCGCCCCTCGATTTCTTCGGTTTCCAGCACACCTGTCTATTTTGCACCAGTGGGTCTCGTTTGACATGAGGTAATTATCTAGGTCCGTCGTCGCAATCGAGACGGCAGTGACTAATTGCGGCGACCAAATACTCGTGGCGATAGCGTATAGCGGCAATACCCAATTGCATCGATATCCATACCGCACCACCCCTTGCGCATCGTACCAGAGGCTGGTCCAATCCGATGGCGGATATTTCTCGTCAGCCTGACTCCGCAGCTCAGCCGTTGGATCCCGTCCTCGTGGAGGGAGCGCTTTTTTTCCGGCCAGAGGAGGGGGGGGAGGCGGAGATTGCGCAAGGCGCAAAAGCTGCTGCGGAAAACCTGCAGCAAAAGCAGGAGCAGCAAGGCGCGCAAAATTACCGTTTAAACGGGCGTGACGTGGCGCACAGGGACGGTGCATGGTCCTTTCGTTTGAACCACAGCAACGCGGGTAGAACAAGCGAGGCGGGTGAAGCAGGAAGCACGGGAGCGGATTTAGGCGTGCAATTGCGATCAATCAACGTGAGAACGACCCGGAACAGAAACACCCCCCGTACTAGCTGGGAGCGGCAGGATGGCTCTACCCTCGACTCGTCGTCTTCCCCTGACAGCGCGTCCCCGTTTGGAACTGCTTCGGTTACAGCAACGGAGGCTGGAGACTCCCTAGCGGTGTACCAACGAGCGGTGGCTAAGCTAGTGGCGTTTGGGTTCAACGGGAAGGAGATTAACGACCATGCTCGCCGCCTCATCGCATTGGGTGAGCGCTGCACAACAGCCCCTCGGTTATCATTGCATCCTCTCACTCATTAACTCTCTCCCTTTCATTCACTCTGTCACTCCCTCGCACGCCCGCCTCTCACCACCCTCTCTTCCAGGTGCGGGCAGCATCGTTCTCGTCTCCAACAACTTCTCCAACCTCCGCCAGCTCCCACATAGCTATGCGCTCTCACTCTCTCACTCACACACTCACTCCCTCTAACCCTCTCACCCTCTCCCCCTTCCAGGTGCGGGCGGTGTTGTCCTCTTCGCCCGCAACTTCTCCGATCCCCGCCAGCTGGCCTCTTTCTGCGCCGACCTCAAGCGGGCGGCGTTCCCTCGGCGTCTTCTCATCATGGTGGATCAGGAGGGCGGCAGAGTCACGCGCCTCGGCCCGCCCTTCACCTGCATCCCCGCCGCCCGCACCATCGGCTTTTCCCGAAACCCTAATCTCGCTCGGGCGGCTGGCCGTGTCTTGGGGCGGGAGTTAAGATCGGTTCATATAGATATAGACTTAGCTCCTGTACTAGATGTAGATACTAACCCTGACAATCCAGTTATAGGGGCTCGGTCGTTTAGTCGGGACCCGGGTGTTGTCTCTCAGATGGGGTACGAGCTTATAAGGGGTATGCAAGGGGAGGGGGTGGCAGCGTGTGTGAAGCATTACCCAGGGCATGGGGATACATCGATCGATAGCCACCTGGCGCTTCCCTATTCGTCGCACGATCTCAGCCGGCTTGAATCTGTGGAGCTGGTGCCGTTTGCGCGGGCGGCAGTGGATGCTGACGTGGCAGCAGTGATGGTCGCCCACGTGGCAGTGCCTGCACTTGCCACGTGGCAGCCTCCCCCTTCCATGGAGTACCTCCCAGAGAGTGTGAAACGTGTCATCAGTCCACGGTGGGATCTGTTTTCCCCGTACAGGAGGCGAAAGCAGTGGGACGAGGCGAGGAGAGAAGCAGAAGCAACCTTGGGATTGCCGCGATCGCTCTCTGAGTCTGACCTGAGGGGTTCTGGCAGTGCTGGTGATAAGAGTAGCCATGACAGCAGTAGAAATAGCAGTAACAGTTGTGTTACCACTGGAGCTGACACAGTCAAATCCCCATCAACCACACAACAGCCACACCAGCAGCAGCCTATTCCTCCCACCAACCACCCCGCCCCATCCCCCAACCCCTCCCCACTGGCTGCCTTCGGCTCTTCTCTCCCTGCCACTCTCTCCCCCGGTGCCCTCTCCTACCTTCGTATGGAGATTGGTTTCGAAGGCGCCGTGTTATCAGATTGCCTGGAGATGGGGGCGATAGTGAAGCATGTGGGTGTGGGAGAGGCAGCAGTGCTGGCTGTAGCAGCAGGGGTGGATATGGTGTTGGTCTGCCACACGGAGACCAGACAGGCAGAAGCTGTTGATGCGCTGGCGCACGCGCTACAGTCCGGGCGGCTCTCAGTGAAAAGATTCCGGGCAGCTTCCCGGGCAGTTGATGCGCTGGCGCGAGTGTTTTGGCGGCCGCCCCCGCCCGAGGGGAGTGAGGTGGAGGAGAGGTATTGGGAGGAGGAACAGCGGGTGGTGGGGTGTAGGGAGCATAGGGAGGTTGTAGCAGAGATAGAGCATGAGGCGTTGGCGCGGGGAGAGGGGGATGATTGGAAGGAGAAGGAGAGGAGGGAGGGTGGTCGGCGGTGTACTATATCGTAACGGTTTGTACTGTATGCAAAGGTAGAGATTACAGGGAGTTTGTTGGAATTTTGTTCATTATAGTGCTGATGTGTGCTAGGTAGCACTAGCAATGTGCTCATGGTGATGGTGGTGGTACCAGTAGTGGTGTTGCTGGCAATTTCGAAAGCAGCATTAAAGAAACACATGCTTACTAAAATGAAAGATGAACTAAGCACCAGACAACTAGGGAAGAAACAAATCAGAGTTACCGTATACTCCCGGACAAAACACCCCCCCATAATTGTACACCCCCGGGTAGCTTGTGCGGGGTGGGTGTTATGATAGACCTCGTTTCTACTATACCCCCCTTTTTGGCTGATTTTCTATAACACCCCCCTTTTCTTACGGATTCATTATTATAGTCGTTAACGAGTAGCTGCAATACGGAAGAATATCGTGTGAATTTCTCCCTCAATGAAATTTCGCGGTACATTCGTTGGCAATCTGCCGAGATTTGCCCCCTCCCACTATTTCTCTGTTGCCACGTGCAGGTGAATCTTCCGTTGCAAGTGGCAAGAGAGGTGTCACATGGCATTTTCGTGAGGGCGATGAAGTTCGAGGCCGAAACTGACATTCGCGCCTCAGGCAGTGATGCTAAAACGACCAGCAAAACACCCACATTGACTAATTAAAAAAACACTAACACTAAAATATGCCATATGTAAAGACCCGGGTATTATGTATTTTTTTCCTATGAGGAGACCCCCCCCCCCCCCCATTTTTTCCCTGTATTTTTAGCTATACCCTAGGGTGTTATGTCCGGGAGAATACGGTATGGTCTTGTAGGCACTCCGATCTGTCTCTGTGTGAAGAAGTGTGGAGCAGCGTCCAGTAGCCACTCTCTTTCAACCGCAGTCACGTCTCGCATGTACAAAAACGAGTCAGCTTGTGATGCAGTGCGGTACACCACCCACTGCGGCGCCACTCTGAAAGGCAGGTGCAGGGTTCAGGTAACGTTCATGGATGCAGGGGGAGGGGGAGGGGGCAATAGAATGGCACTTGTGATGCAGTGCGATACACCACCCACTGCGGCGCCACTCTGTAAGGCAGGTGCAGGGTTCAGGTAACGTTCATGGATGCAGGGGAAGGGGGAGGGGGCAATAGAATGGCACTTGTGATGCAGTGCGGTACACCACCCACTGCGGCGCCACTCTGCGAAACAGGTGGATAATCCAATACACATGAGGGGGTAGGGAAGGGGGGAAAGGGGGGGGAGACCACTGCACGGGAAGGTGAGATGGCTGCTGCTGTTAGTTCAGTACTTTAATAGTATGGATAGGAGGGAGGGGGAATGAAATTTGTCGGAGTGGTGAGGAGTGGGGTGAGTAAGGGGGTTTGTCATACCTGAAAAGGACGGACGAAGGGTGAATCTTAAGATGCAGATTGCCCCTCACGGACTTGTATGTTGATCCGTCACCATCAGGCTGGTATGGAAGGGAGGGGGTATGGTAGAGGAGGGGTGAATCCTAAGGTTCAGATAGCCCCTCACGGACTTGTATGTTGATCCGTCACCATCAGGCTGAGAGGGGAGGGCGGGATGGGAAGCGGAATGGAACGTGCATAGACTCATGCACAACCATGTGCGTAGACTTAGACAAACCATGCACGGACTCATGACAAGCATGTGTGGGCACTCTTGGATTCATGAGTGAATCCAAGAGTGCTCACACATGCTAATCATGAGTTCCGCTCATACTCTGCACCGCCCGCTCATACGCTGCACCGCCCGCTCATACGCTGCACCACCCACTCATACGCTGCACCGCACGCTCATACGCTGCACCGCCCGCTAATACGCTGCACCGCACGCTCATACGCAGCACCGCACGCGCATACGCTGCACCGCACGCTCATACGCTGCACCGCCCGCTCATACGCTGCACCGCCCGCTCATACGCTGCACCGCCCGCTCATACGCTGCACCGCCCGCTCATACGCTGCACCGCCCGCTCATACGCTGCACCGCACGCTCATACGCTGCACCGCACGCTCATACGCTACACCGCCCGCTCATACGCTGCACCGCCCGCTCATATGCTGCACCGCCCGCTCATACGCTGCAGATCACGCATATCACGAAGAATTTTCCAGATCTGCGATTTTCACACTTGTTTTCTCACTGTTGATCCTTTGCTTAAAGGACACATCCAGAATTACCGTGTCGGCCCCAAAACTGTCACCACTTTCACGTGATTGGTCGAAGGTTTTGAGTGGGTTTTTGACGGGATTGGTTATCGATTTTTCCACCGAACCTCCTTCTGGGGTTTTCCGAACCTACAATTTTTTCGTTGACTTAGTTGTGTAATTCGGGTTGTGGCCTTTAAGTGTCTTTCTACAACTGCAGCCCTTCGAATATGAGTCAAGGTCATACACTGCAGATCTTACCATGAGCTGAGCCGCATTCACGAAGAGAGAGGCCGCCGCTGCCCGTTGGAGCAGCTGGTGGAGAGGAGTAGGGGTTGGCAGAGGGGAGAGTGGAACAAAATATTGGTGGGTGGCGAGAAGTGATAAAAGATGGCACTGCTGCCTGCTGGAGCAGCTGGTGGAATCAGGGGTGGTGCGGGGTTGGAGGGGGTGTGGTGGGGTTGTGGGTGGGTGTGGGTGGGAAGGCAAGCAACAGAAATGGGGAAGAGGAGGGACAGGTAGGGGGACTGGGAACGTGGGGTGGGGGATAAGGGGACGGAAATTATAAGGTGAGAGTGTGGGACAGGAGAAAGAGTGGCATGTCGTTAAGTGCTGACGTCATGAGTATACCCACCATGACGTCATGAGCATACCCACCATGACGTCATAAGCATACCCACCATGACGTCACCTCTGCATGGCAGCAGCTTCAGCCCCAGGCGCCTTAGCCCTTTCCGCAGCTGCCCCCTCACATCGTCCACTCGCAGCTGAGATGTGGGGGCGGGGAGGGGTAGGGAGGAGTGAGGATGGACGAGAAGGGGTGGGGAGGGGTGAGGAGGCAGATTTGAAAAGCGCCTGAGGCCCCTCCTCAGCCGCCCCCTCACATCGTCCACTCGCAGCTGAGATGGGGGGATGGGGAGGGATGAGAAGGGGTAAGGAGAGGTGAAGGAGGGGTGAGGGCCAAAGAGGAATAGACGAGGGAAGATGTCTGCAGTCGGTTGGCTGTAAACTGCACTGGGAAGTTTTGAGATTTGTACGAATTACAATGCAGAAACATGGCACAGAGCACAGAGCATAGCAAGTAGAGCACAGCACAGAAACCACGGTTGCCAGTGCACCAATACCATGCGACTTCGAGTCGACTTGGAACCAAACCACCATGAGACCATGCGACCTTACCACTTCTCACCCCTCCCCATGGTAGTCAGTCAGTGTACCATGGCCTGGTAGTTGATGCCGTTGGCGTGGCACCACTTGGGTGACCGGCCACTGCGAGTGAAGCCCTCATACACGTTCAGGTAGGAGACAAAGTCGCCCTGGTGGGAGAAAAGGGAGGAAGTTAGGCGTGAACAATGGAGGGATGGGAGAGGGGTTGTCTTGTCGCGAGGTGAATTGTGTTGCTTTCTGTGAAGCCCTCATACACGTTCAGGTAGGAGACAAAGTCGCCCTGGTGGGAAGACAGAGGGAACACAGAGAATAGAGAGGGAACACAGAGAATACAGAGGGAACACAGAGAATAGAGAGAATAGAGAGGTGGAGGGAGTGCAGAAGAAGGGGGCAGGGGATGTGGCGAGTTCACTTGGGCGACCGGCCACTGCGAGTGAAGCCCTCATACACGTTCAAATAGGAGACAAAGTCGCCCTGGTGGGAGAAGAGAGAGAGCATCGAACGCACAGAACACAGAGGAAGGGGTTGGCGTTGCAGAACACAGAGGAAGGGGTTGGCGTTGCAGAACACAGAGGAAGGGGTTGGCGTTGCAGTGAGGAAGGGGTTGGCGTTGCAGTGAGGAAGGGGTTGGCGTTGCAGTGAGGAAGGGTTTGGCGTTGCAGTGAGGAAGGGGTTGGCGTTGCAGTGAGGAAGGGGTTGGCGTTGCAGTGAGGAAGGGGTTGGCGTTGCAGTGAGGAAGGGGTTGGCGTTGCAGTGAGGAAGGGGTTGGCGTTGCAGTGAGGAAGGGGTTGGCGTTGCAGTGAGGAAGGGGTTGGCGTTGCAGTGAGGAAGGGGTTGGCGTTGCAGTGAGGTCAACTGAGTTATGTTTTTGGCCGGCCTCACTACACCGCGATGAATGGATAAAACCTCCATGCATGTTCAGGCAGGACATGAACTTGCGCTAGTGAAGGGGGAAGAAATAAGCTGGTATGCGGTGGAGTGGAGAGGCGCGGCGAGTGTATACCACCGTCTGGTATACCAGAGCACCATGCCTTGCTGTTTCCCCAACCTCTCTGCCACCGTCGGACAAGCCAAAAACAAAAAAAAAGTCTGGCACCGTGTTGTGAGCACTTCCCAAGCACACCTGTACCATGCCATACTCCCTCCCTACATGCTCCCTTAAAAAGCTACTCACCTCTGCAGCAGCGAATCGCTCTTTGAGTCTGTCTGACTCCCTCTGCCTGCCGCTGCTGCCCACCCACACTGACTGGGGGAAGGGGGGATGTAGGATCGGGGGAAGGGGGGATGCAGGATCAGGGGAAGGGGGGATGCAGGATCGGGGGAAGGGGGGATGCAGGATCGGGGGAAGGGGGGATGCAGGATCGGGGGAAGGGGGAGAAAGTGGGGCAGATAGGTGAGGAATGCAGTGAGTCGACTCAAAAGACGACTTAAATACAGCCTGGTGGAGGGATAAAAGCAGCAGTGGAGAGGCAGGAGTATGACAGGAGGAGGACGTGGGAGAAATACATGAGGAGGATGGAGGTCAACAGGATTCAGCTTAAACCTGCATGCCTTCCATACCCTCACACTCATGCCACACCTCCCAACCGCTCCAACCTCCCGTCTGCAAGCCAACACTCTCCTCCTCTCACCTGCACACACAGTGACGCAGCAACTGTACACATCTCTTCGGAACAACCATCAGCGTCCTCCCCATCTCCGTCTTCCTCCTCCTCATCATCCTCCTCCTTCCCCCCACCCACGCCACCTCCACCCCCTCCACTCTTCATCGCAGTACCAGTAGCACCATCAGCGGTGGTGCCAGGTGCATTGGCCGATACAAGCAGCATGAAGGCAATCAGAGGGTCCTGAGAGAACGGAGAGAGGCGGGGGACGGGAATAAGCAGGCTCAACAGGTAAGGTGAATATTGATTGATGGTTCTGGGGAGAGGAAGGAAGCTGGGGGTTACAAGCATGACAGTACTTGCACATAATTACTAGTATGTGGTTACTACCGGCATGAAGTTACCAGCATGTGGTTACCACGTGCATCTTACCAGAGGAAACTCTGCCAGCTGGACTCCAACAGGCCTGGTCAGTCTGCCGTCCATATCCAGCGCCCGGACGGCAAAGAGCGTCTCTAGTGCGCGGATCATGGCGGACGGCGCGGGCGGCGAGAGCCAATCGAATCGCATGATGTTGTCGATGCCGAGCGACTTGAGCTGCAGCACTGTTGCTGTGAGATCTGATCGCTGGATCTCCGGGATTGTGTGGGCGGCAAGATCTGTCAAGTAGCTGTGCTCTGTGTACAGTCTGTTGGAGAGAAGAGGGGCGAAGAGGACGGGAGAGCAGAGGAGAGAAGAGGTGAGGAGAAACGGGGAGAGAAGGAAGCAAGCCACATTAGAAATCCAACACGTTGCTATTATTGACAGAGGTTTGGGGGCAGCAATGCCCCTAAAACTGTTTTAATTCCATTCTGAGTGTACTAAGATTAGCGAGTGCGAGTAACTTCACCTGTAGCATTTCCCTGGCCTCACTCGCCCTGCCCTGCCTGCCCTCTGCTGTGCTGATGCTCGTGACACGGGCACTAGCAGTAGCGCATCCACGTTTGATACCTGGGGAAATGGGGATGGGGGATGGGGGATGGGGGATGTGGGATGTGGGATGGGGAAACAGAACGGTACAGAGGTTGGTTGGGGAGGGCGGGTTGATGCCCTGCCTGCTCTCTGTTGTGCTGTTGCTTGTGACACGGGCCGCAGCAACGTATCCACGTTTGACACTTGGAGGGATGGGGGCAGGAGGCGCATCACGGCGCGGCATGGCACAGCACAGGGGAGAGGAGAGGAAGAAGATGCGCTGAGATTTGCTGTGAACACAAAGGTCAACGGCCAAACAGAGCTGGAACACAAAGGTCAACGGCCAAACAGAGCTGGAACACAAAGGTCAACGGCCAAACAGATCTGGAACACAAAGGTCAACGGCCAAACAGAGCTGGAACACAGAGGGACGCGGCATAAGAGGAAGGGTGGAAGATTGGACGGGAGGAGCACTTACAGGGTCGAAGAACCGTTGCTTGACAAAGCCACAGTCAACCACGTACACTATGCCCTGACGGGGAGAGGAGGAGAAAGAGAGGGCAGTGGGATGTAGTTGCTTCCTCAACCGCATTTTACAATAAGAGGAGAAAAGTTTAACTCATATAAAGAAGCAACATCAGGACAATTTTTTTAATCCAATCGAAGATCAACAAAATAACAGATAAAAGGTCGCCTCTTCTCCTGCATTTTTCTAGGCACCTCAAACACTAAGACCACGGACCTCAATGGTGAGAGACGTCTCTGCGATGTTGGTCGCCACCAGCACCTTCCTCCATCCCCGTGCCAAGGCAGCAAACTTCTGAGGCGCCTCAAGCACTAAGCTCACGCACGCACCTCGATGGTGAGAGACGTCTCGGCAATGTTGGTCGCCACCAGCACCTTCCTCCTCCCCCGCAGGGTGGGCGCAAATGCAGCCTCCTGTCGGGGTGGTGGTGGTGGTGGTGGTGGTGGTGGTGATGGTGGTGGTGGTGGTGGTGGTGGTGGTGGTGGTGGTGGTGGTGGTGGTGGTGGTGGTGGTGGTGGTGGTGGTGGTGGTGGTGGTGGTGGTGGTGGTGGTGGTGGTGGTGGTGGTGGTGGTGGTGGTGGTGGTGGTGGTGGTGGTGGTGGTGGTGGTGGTGGTGGAGGAGGGAACGAATAAAAGAGGGGGGGTTTGAGAGGGGCCATGAGGCAAACGCATGTGCTTCACTTTCGCACACCTGTGTGCATGCCTGCACACGAACGCGCATGCCTATGTGTGGAGGGGCATGTGCGCTCGTGTGCATGCATGTACTTTTAGAATCAACCCATTCCCCGGGTGACATTCGTTCACTCACTCACAAGGGTCAACGAATATAGACGGGAGAAAGGGAGCGAGGAGAACTCACGATGGCACCAGCCGGCAGACCAGCTTTGAAACAGAGGCGTCGTGTCGCCAGTGAATCGATTTTAGCTCGCCTCAAAAGCTATACTACGAGTGCCTTTGAGTCGACTCAAAAGCTATACTACGAGTGCCTTTGAGTCGACTCAAAAGCTATACTACGAGTGCCTTTGAGTCGACTCAAAAGCTATACTACGAGTGCCTTTGAGTCGACTCAAAAGCTATACTACGAGTGCCTTTGAGTCGACTCAAAAGCTATACTACGAGTGCCTTTGAGTCGACTCAAAAGCTATACTACGAGTGCCTTTGAGTCGACTCAAAAGCTATACTACGAGTGCCACCATACATACCCAAGTAAAGGAGCGGGACTTACAACATCACCGGCTGGTAGACCAGCATAGAGAGGAAACGCCTGGAGGCCTGAAGGGCGAAGAGTAGGGATGAGAGACGAAATGAGGAATAGTTAGAATGGGAAGGACAGAAACGCAAGTGAGTGAGTGACAGGCCACAGGCGTGCCGCGTGCTCTGCATAGTGCTATGAAAGAGGAAACTGCAACTAAACACGTTTAATGCATGGCATCGCCTCCTAAAGAGGCGTCCCCACTAGCACATTGAATTTTGACTTCGCAAGAAGACGGACAGGGATGCATACCTCTCAGTTTCTCGGACGAGGGAGTGTAGCTGTTGCTCTGCTCCGCTATAAGCTGCACCAACGTGTCCACCTCCTCCTGTCCCGTTAAGAACACAAGTATGTCTCCTGGAGGCTCCTAAAAGGGTGAGGTGCAGGAGACAAAAGGAACGTTTTATCTTGCATTACAGTCCAATTGCATGTAAGATCAGGAAGATCACTAAGCCATCAATGAAGAAGAGAGATTCAAAGTGGTGCTTCCAGGAATAGTGGCTGCAAGGGCGATGACGCGCTGGGAGGCGGAGGGAGGCAGAGGGAGGAGGAGGGAGGAGGAGCGTTGGCCTCACCTGGCAGTGAATGGCGAGCACGGTGTCAAGTGCTGTCTGCAGGTAGTCCGATGTGGGTTCTTCAAGGTACAGCAGCTGCACCGGGTGACTCCGGCCTTCCACTGAAATGATAGCTGGCTTGCGGCTGGGAAGGGTGTTAAGGCCTTGTGACGACAAGGGCTTGGGCTTCTCGTGGCTGGGGGGGGCGGTGAGACAGGGTCAGGGGGGAACAGGGGAGATGTGTGGTTAAAGCATTACACATAGTCTGACGTGGGTTCCTCCAGGTACAGCAGCTGCACGGGGTGGCTGCGCTGCGCCCCTCCACGGATATGATCGCTGGCTTGCAGCTGGGAAGGGCTTGAAGCTGAGAGCCTTCTGGCTGAAACTTTGGCTTCTCGTTGCTAGGGGGCGGTGAGACAGGTTACTGGGGGAAAGGGGTGACGTGCGGCGAAGGGTGTGAAACAAAAACACGGTCAGCAGTCGGGGGAGTGGAAACGGGAGGGGAGTGAGTGAGAGACCGGGGAATGCAAAGAGGGGGAAAGGAGGAGAGATCGTGAGAGAGGGGAGGTGAAGAATGGAACGAGAAGAAGATCGATTAGCCGAGCGTGGGCGAGGCAACGCACCTGGTGTCAAAGAAGGCTGCCACGTCATCAGCTGCCAGCGTGGCAGATGAGATGACCAATCGGAGGTCAGGACGCCGCCGCATCACCTGGGGCATGGATGGAGAAGCGGGGGACAGACAGGGAGAGGCAAAGGGGGAAGCGCGGGGAGAGGGGGAAGGGAGGGAAAAAGGGAAGAGGGGCAGAGGAAGAGGGTAAAGGGGCAGGGCCGGGGCTAATGCAGTGGAAGCAGAAACGTACAAACGCTGACCGGCTTCGATGACACGCAAGAGCTAGCATAGGTTAGCAAGAAGAGAAACAACAAACACGGGGGTTACACCAACCTCCCACGATCACAACACGAGAACAACACCTTCTTGAGGAGGCCCAGGAGAATGTCCGTTGCCAGGCTGCGCTCATGCGCCTCGTCCACCATGATCACACTGCCATGCATGCAGTACAATAACAAACGATGTGTTAAAATGGCTTATAAGTCTACATGAAACAGCTGCGCTCATGCGCCTCATGCACCGCAATATAATGGCACGAAATATATTCACATCACGTACACTCAATCCACACTCTCGCATGTCATACAACCGAGTTATACCCAATCGCATAAGGCATAGGTTGTTATCGAGCAAGAGGGAACCACAATATACAGACAGGCAATAAATCAGACAGAAAAGGAGCAGGTCCCCGCGCGCGTCTTGGTCTGCCGCGCGCACGACGTGAACAGGCGTGACCAGGCGTGACCAGGCATGACCAGGCGTGACCAGGCGTGACCAGGCGTGACCAGGCGTGACCAGGCGTGACCAGGCGTGACCAGGCGTGACCAGGCGTGACCAGGCGTGACCAGGCGTGATCAGGCGTGACCATGCGTGACCAGGCGTGACCAGGCGTGACCAGGCGTGACCATGCGTGACCAGGCGTGACCATGCGTTAATAGGCGTGGCCAGGCGAGACCATGCGTGACCATGCGTGACCAGGCGTGACCAGGCGTGACCAGGCGTGACCAGGCGTGACCAGGCGTGACCAGGCGTGACCAGGCGTGACCAGGCCTGACCAGGCGTGACCAGGCGTGACCAGGCGTGACCAGGCGTGACCATGCGTGACCAGGCGTGACCAGGCGTGACCAGGCGTGACCATGCGTGACCAGGCGTGACCATGCGTGACCAGGCGTGACCAGTGCGTGACCAGGCGTGACCAGGCGTGACCAGGCGTGACCAGGCGTGACCAGGCGTGACAGGCGTGACCAGGCGTGACCAGCGTGACCAGGCGTACCAGGCGTGACAGGCGTGACCAGGCGTGACCAGGCGTGACCAGGCGTGACCATGCGTGACCAGGCGTGACCAGGCGTGCCAGGCGAGACCATGCGTGACCATGCGTGACCAGGCGTGACCAGGCGTGACCAGGCGTGACCAGGCGTGACCAGGCGTGACCAGGCGTGACCAGGCGTGACCAGGCTGACCAGGCCTGACCAGGCGTGACCAGGCGTGACCAGGCGTGACCAGGCGTGACCATGCGTGACCAGGCGTGACCAGGCGTGACCAGGCGTGACCATGCGTGACCAGGCGTGACCATGCGTGACCAGGCGTGACCAGGCGTGACCAGGCGTGACCAGGCGTGACCAGGCGTGACCAGGCGTGACCAGGCGTGACCAGGCGTGACCAGGCGTGACCAGGCGTGACCAGGCGTGACCAGGCGTGACCATGCGTGACCAGGCGTGACCAGGCGTGACCAGGCGTGACCAGGCGTGACCAGGCGTGACCATGCGTGACCAGGCGTGACCATGCGTGACCAGGCGTGACCAGGCATGACCAGGCGTGACCAGGCGTGACCAGGCGTGACCAGGCGTGACCAGGCGTGACCAGGCGTGACCAGGCGTGACCAGGCGTGACCAGGCGTGACCAGGCGTGACCAGGCGTGACCAGGCGTGACCATGCGTGACCAGGCGTGACCAGGCGTGACCAGGCGTGACCAGGCGTGACCAGGCGTGACCAGGCGTGACCAGGCGTGACCAGGCGTGACCAGGCGTGACCAGGCGTGACCAGGCGTGACCAGGCGTGACCAGGCGTGACCTGCGTGACCTGCGTGACCATGCGTGACCATGCGTGACCAGGCGTGACCAGGCGTGACCAGGCGTGACCAGGCGTGACCAGGCGTGACCAGGCGTGACCATGCGTGACCAGGCGTGACCATGCGTGACCAGGCGTGACCCAGGCCTGACCAGGCGTGACCAGGCGTGACCAGGCGTGACCAGGCGTGACCAGGCAGTGACCAGGCGTGACCAGGGCGTGACCAGGCGTGACCAGGCATGACCAGGCGTGACCAGGCGTGACCAGGCGTGACCAGGCGTGACCAGGCGTGACCAGGCGTGACCAGGCGTGACCAGGCGTGACCATGCGTGACCAGGCGTGACCAGGCGTGACCAGGCGTGACCATGCGTGACCATGCGTGACCAGGCGTGACCAGGCGTGACCATGCGTGACCAGGCGTGACCATGCGTGACCATGCGTGACCAGGCGTGACCAGGCGTGACCATGCGTGACCAGGCGTGACCATGCGTGACCATGCGTGACCATGCGTGACCATGCGTGACCAGGCGTGACCAGGCGTGACCATGCGTGACCAGGCGTGACCAGGCGTGACCAGGCGTGACCAGGCGTGACCAGGCGTGACCAGGCGTGGACCAGGCGTGACCAGGCGTGACCATGCGTGACCAGGCGTGACCAGGCGTGACCAGGCGTGACCAGGCGTGACCATGCGTGACCAGGCGTGACCAGGCGTGACCAGGAGTGACCAGGCGTGACCAGGAGTGACCAGGCGTGACCAGGCGTGACCAGGCGTGACCAGGCGTGACCATGCGTGACCAGGCGTGACCAGGCGTGACCAGGCGTGACCAGGCGTGACCAGGCGTGACCAGGCGTGACCAGGCGTGACCAGGCGTGACCAGGCGTGACCAGGCGTGACCAGGCGTGACCATGCGTGACCAGGCGTGACCAGGCGTGACCAGGCGTGACCATGCGTGACCAGGCGTGACCATGCGTGACCAGGCGTGACCAGGCGTGACCATGCGTGACCAGGCGTGACCATGCGTGACCATGCGTGACCAGGCGTGACCAGGAGTGACCAGGCGTGACCAGGAGTGACCAGGCGTGACCAGGCGTGACCAGGCGTGACCAGGCGTGACCATGCGTGACCAGGCGTGACCAGGCGTGACCAGGCGTGACCATGCGTGACCAGGCGTGACCATGCGTGACCAGGCGTGACCAGGCGTGACCATGCGTGACCAGGCGTGACCAGGCGTGACCATGCGTGACCAGGCGTGACCAGGAGTGACCAGGCGTGACCAGGCGTGACCAGGCGTGACCAGGCGTGACCAGGCGTGACCATGCGTGACCAGGCGTGACCATGCGTGACCAGGCGTGACCAGGCGTGACCAGGCGTGACCAGGCGTGACCATGCGTGACCATGCGTGACCATGCGTGACCAGGCGTGACCATGCGTGACCAGGCGTGACCATGCGTGACCAGGCGTGACCATGCGTGACCAGGCGTGACCAGGCGTGACCAGGCGTGACCAGGCGTGACCATGCGTGACCAGGCGTGACCAGGCGTGACCATGCGTGACCAGGCGTGACCAGGCGTGACCAGGCGTGACCAGGCGTGACCAGGCGTGACCATGCGTGACCAGGCGTGACCAGGCGTGACCAGGCGTGACCAGGCGTGACCATGCGTGACCAGGCGTGACCAGGCGTGACGAGGCGTGACCATGCGTGACCAGGCGTGACCAGGAGTGACCAGGCGTGACCAGGCGTGACCAGGCCTGACCAGGCGTGACCAGGCGTGACCAGGCGTGACCAGGCGTGACCAGGCGTGACCATGCGTGACCAGGCGTGACCATGCGTGACCAGGCGTGACCAGGCGTGACCAGGCGTGACCAGGCGTGACCAGGCGTGACCAGGCGTGACCAGGCGTGACCAGGCGTGACCAGGCGTGACCAGGCGTGACCAGGCGTGACCAGGCGTGACCAGGCGTGACCAGGCGTGACCTGCGTGACCTGCGTGACCATGCGTGACCATGCGTGACCAGGCGTGACCAGGCGTGACCAGGCGTGACCAGGCGTGACCAGGCGTGACCAGGCGTGACCATGCGTGACCAGGCGTGACCATGCGTGACCAGGCGTGACCAGGCATGACCAGGCGTGACCAGGCGTGACCAGGCGTGACCAGGCGTGACCAGGCGTGACCAGGCGTGACCAGGCGTGACCAGGCGTGACCAGGCGTGACCAGGCGTGACCAGGCGTGACCAGGCGTGACCAGGCGTGACCAGGCGTGACCAGGCGTGACCATGCGTGACCAGGCGTGACCATGCGTTACCAGGTGTGACCAGGCGTGACCAGGCGTGACCATGCGAGACCAGGCGTGACCTGCGTGACCTGCGTGACCATGCGTGACCATGCGTGACCAGGCGTGACCAGGCGTAACCAGGCGTGACCAGGCGTGACCAGGCGTGACCAGGCGTGACCAGGCGTGACCAGGCGTGACCAGGCGTGACCAGGCGTGACCAGGCGTGACCAGGCGTGACCAGGCGTGACCAGGCGTGACCATGCGTGACCAGGCGTGACCAGGCGTGACCATGCGCGACCAGGCGCGACCATGCGTGACCATGCGTGACCAGGCGTGACCAGGAGTGACCAGGCGTGACCAGGAGTGACCAGGCGTGACCAGGCGTGACCAGGCGTGACCAGGCGTGACCATGCGTGACCAGGCGTGACCAGGCGTGACCAGGCGTGACCAGGCGTGACCAGCGTGACCAGGCGTGACCAGGGCGTGACCAGGCGTGACCAGGCGTGACCAGGCTGACCAGGCGTGACCAGTCGTGACCAGGCGTGACCATGCGTGACCAGGCGTGACCAGGCGTGACCAGGCGTGACCATGCGTGACCAGGCGTGACGCAGGCGTGACCAGGAGGTGACCATGCGTGACCAGCGTGACCATGCGTGACCATGCGTGACCAGGCGTGACCCATGCGTGACCAGGAGTGACCAGGCGTGACCAGGAGTGACCAGGCGTGACCAGGGAGTGACCAGGCGTGACCAGGCGTGACCATGCGTGACCAGGGCGTGACCAGGCCGTGACCAGGCGTGACCATGCGTGACCAGGCGTGACCAGGCGTGACCAGGCGTGACCAGGCGTGACCATGCGTGACCAGGCGTGACCAGGCGTGACCAGGCGGGACCAGGCGTGACCAGGAGTGACCAGGCGTGACCAGGCGTGACCAGGCGTTGACCAGGAGTGACCAGGCGTGACCAGAGCGTGACCAGGCGTGACCAGGCGTGACCAGCGTGACCACTGCGTGACCAGGCGTGACCATGCGTGACCAGGCGTGACCAGGCGTGACCAGGCGTGACCAGGCGTGACCATGCGTGACCATGCCGTGACCAGGCGTG